AAATGCCTGCCATATAGAAAATCGTGGAATTTTTTAATTCCAGCAACAACAGCCAGAGCCTCCCTGTCTATCTGAGCGTAGTTGCGCTCGGCAGAAGACAATGTTCTGGAGTAGTATGCAATAGGAACCTGAGTTCCATCAGACCTGAGGTGACTCAGGACAGCTCCAACCCCGTAGGGGGATGCATCACAAGCGATGCACACAGGAAGAGACTCGTTGAAATGTGCAAGAACACTGTTAGAAGTGAGCAAGGCCTTGACTTCTTTAAAGCAAGCCTCATGTGCTTGTGACCACAGCCACACAGCTTGTTTGTCTAGTAGCCTGTGAAGAGGCTCAGCTACACTAGCTTTATGTGGAAGAAAAGAATTGTAGAAATTCAGGAGGCCTAAGAAGGCCTGAAGTTCGGCCTTAGACTTTGGCCTGGGTGCTTCTAAAATAGCAGTTAGTTTGGATTCAGCAGGATGAATCCCAGCAGCATCAATTTTGAATCCCAGAAATTCAGTAGAAGGCACCCCAATCTTGCATTTGTCTTTTCTGAGCTTAAGGCCTGATTTCCTGAATCTTAACAGGACAGCCCTAAGCCTTTCAGCTAGAATGTGTGTGGAGTCTCCTGCAATCAAGACATCGTCAAAGTAGGGGCAGACCCCTGGTATACCTCGTAGTGTGTTTTCCATTACGCTTTGGAAAATCCCAGGAGCGACATTCACTCCAAACTGCAGCCTTTTTACTTTAAAGGCTCCCCTGTGGGTCACAATAGTCTGAGCTATGGCAGCATCATTATCAACAGGCAGCTGTTGATATGCTTGAGCTAGGTCAAGCTTTGCAAAAACACGCCCCCCCTTGAGAGAGGCCAGGATGTGACTGACCACAGGAACAGGATAGGCATGTTGCTGCAATGCCTTATTGAGTGTGCATTTGTAATCAGCACAAATGCGAATGTCCCCATTTGCCTTTAGAGGCGTGACAATGGGGGTCTCCCATGGGCTGGAATCAACAGGTTCTAGGATTCCTTGTTGGATTAGTTTGTCTAATTCAGTGTCAATCTTACTTTTTAAAGCAAAAGGGACCCTTCTTGCTTTAATCCTAATGGGAGTGACAGTGGGGTCTAGCTTTAAGGACACAGGTGGTCCTTTGAATGTGCCCAGCTGGGGGCTGAAAACATCTGCAAATTCCTTGCAGACTTCCTGTAGGTCGAGTGTTTGTAAGCTGTTGAGTCCTGTGACGTGTATCCCCAGGGCCTCAAACCAATCGAGTCCTATGAGACTCGTTCTTTCACCCCCTACTACTAACAAGTCTAGTGGACCTTCAAAACTCTTGTATTGCACGTTAAGGGTGGCCTCCCCCTTAACACACACTCTTGAGTTCTGAAAATCAGTTAATACAATATCAGAAGGCCTTAACTTGGCCTTAGTCCCACTACTGGAACAAATCTTCCTAAATGTATGCAATGAAATGATGGAAAGGGCGGACCCTGTGTCTAGTTCCATAGATAATGGAACCCCTTGTAGCTTCACGTTGAGTGACAGCTTTTTCTTCATGGGCTTGTGTGTGCCTGTCCTACAAATGTTTCTACGCGAAGCGCAAAAACCTACCCTATTCTGGCTGGGGACTCTGGTACCCTTCAGGCGTTCTTCTTGAGGTTGTGCCTTTCGTCGGCCCAGACACACAGCTGCAATGTGCCCTTGTTTGCCGCATGCCCGGCAGGTAGCGGAGCGGAACTTGCAGTCGGTTCTCCTGTGGCGACCTCCACAGCCGATGCACTTGAGCGGAGCTGAAGAGCTTTCCTTCTGATTTTCTCCCTTCGCGGGGTGTAGACGGTCGACTTCTTCGTCCGGATCCTCCTCGGAGTTTCGTCGGACGTCTTCTTGGTGCACGGACGCACCCTCTGCACTGCTTCTGATCGGCCGCATGTTCTTGACGGCGCCGCCTGCTGCTTCTTCCGCGGTGGCTTCCCTTAAAGCGTCTTGGAAGGATAATTCTTCCTTAGCGAAAAGTCTCTGTTGTAGCTCTCGATGCCTCAACCCGCACACGAATCGGTCCCTCAGTCGTTCCTCGAGGTCCTTGAACTCGCAGGGCTTGGCGGCCTTCCGTAACGCGGCGATGTACTCCTTGGCTGACTCCCCGGACCGTTGATCCCTCTGCTCGAAGGTGTGGCGCCATGAGATAACGGACACCTTGGGGTGGAAGTGGTCCTTCAGCAGCTTCTTCAGGTCTGCGTAGCTTACAGACTCTACTGGAACAGGTGCTGCAAGGTTTTCTGCGATTTCGAAGGCGTCTTGGCCGCAAGCGCAAAGCAGGGTGGCAGCCTTCAAGCTATCTTCCCTCACTTGGTTTGCCTTGAAGTAGTTCTCCATTCTGGATACGTAGGACTCCCACCGCTCTGGATGTGAGACGTCGAATTCCGCAAGCCTTCCGATTTTCGCCATCTTCGGATCTTCAGGAGACGGGTCTATCAGCCAGCCTACCCCCGAATGCGCACTGGATTGGCGGGCAGCTGCTGAGTCAACACCGTTCCTCTTCCGCCGCTCAGGACTCCTTGGGTAAGCTTACACTTTTTCCTTTCCAGGTAGTGCAAGGCATCCCACCTTCGTCGCCAGTGTTGCGTCCTTGGCGGGAAAACAGACACGAGAAGCAGCTGGAGTTCTCAGTTTCTTTTATTCAGCGTTCAGCTTACAGGAAGATGGCTTCAGCTCAGCCCAAACGCCTCACAGCCTCTTATATAGGCAACTCCCGGGTAAATGGGTTACTTTTCCCGCGCCAGCACCCGCGCATGCGCACGGCGCTGGCGACAGCCTGTCTGGTCCCGGGCAGCTTTGCACCTGCCCGGGACTGCCTGCAAACGCCCGAGCCGTTTGCAAGGCTCGGGACATAACAGTTCCAGATCAGCTAACAAGTCTATGAAAGACCTGAGAGTAAGATCAAAGTTTACATCCAATTATAAATACAGTTCACTGGATCACACTGAACCCACAAGCGTCAACATTCAAATATAGAAGCTCCATGGGAACTTAAGGGAGATTTTTCCCATTTTTCTTTTTCAAATTTCTTTTTCTTTTATTTATGCATGTCTAAATTTTTACATTATTTTCTCATTCTAGGATAACTTACCATCATTCTGTTGGCCATCTCATCACAGCATCTGGCTTCACACCTCCCTGCAAAGTGAATGAGAAAATGAGCCTGATTTTGATGTGAATTACAAAGAAGTTCTAGAATGGGAGGGTTTTTTCTTTTTTCTTTTTTAAAAAAAACATGTTTACTTCCCCCTCCCAAATAGATGCAGTGCATCTAATCTTAGGTTTCAGAATATTTGCTAATAATAAAAGCCCTGAACTTGTTTCTCTGCCTGTAATATTTGGTTAATGAAACTTTGTACAAAAATTAGCTTACATTCCCATAGAGCATCTTGAATAATTGAATGTTGACACGATAATGGTTTAAAGTATTGGTGAGTTGAATGTTGATGAATATGTATCTTCACTAGGTAATATAGTAGACCCTTTTAGTGCTTGACATGGACACAGTAAATGATGAGAGTAAATTATGAATTACATAAAAGCATAAAACCCCTATTAAAATAGTAACAAGGTAAAGATATAGAGAGATAACTGCGGTATTTCTGCATTTCTATAAATGTAGTATGAAGAACTGAAATAGGTTATTAGAAGATAAATCTACACCTGATTTAAACTTATGGAAAGTTTAAACTGCTTATACATTATTTTTCACATTAATAAACTTAAAACTTCTCCATAAAACAGATTACAATTAAGGCAAATTCCAACAATGTCCTCTTTGCTAGCCTTGCATTTTTAAGTAATTATATTTGTTACAATACCAATTGTAAATAGCAATTGTAAAATATTGAAAAATAAATACAAGGGACAAAGGAAAAATTATAGTGCTTATAGTGCCAGGAACAATTTTACTTATCAAGATTTTTTTGTAGTTTCTAAATTTAATAATAATGCAGACAAATGAAATACTTTTTCTTTAAACAAAATAAATGTGTAGCTTTGATTTGTTTGGCTCAAAATGTTTTTATTTCAGAAAAAATCTGGTTTGTTAAACACTACAAACTTCTAGGTGTTCAGTAATGTATACTTTACCAATAAAATAATTAATAAATTGTATTGTAAATGGTGAGTATCCAATTTTACTTCATTATCCGTCAATCACAATATGAATTTTTTTTATTTGACAAATAAATACAGCAGTCCATAGAACAAATATTTCAATAAAGCTGAACGTACATCATCATATGTATCAAATTGGCAAAAAAAAAAAAAAATCTGAAATCCATATAATGGATTAAAATCTATATTTGGATTCTGTAATGAACAGTTACATTTTATTTATACATTTTGTATGACTAATATATTATTAGTCTCAGGGACAGAAAAATGTTCAGGTTCTCTTATCATACTAACAGATTTTTTTCCCAATATGCAGAGAACTTAATTTCAATTATTTGTTTAAAACTTATTAATACGAAATTGTATTATGAATGTCTTCTCTCAGAGTGTACCATATTAAAATATAAGGTTTATAAAGTATATTTCCATTCTGACTTGATTGTGCTCTGTTTATGATTCAAAAATAAGTAACATGGAGAGACACCATAAAAATATATAACTATCATATACCTGATGCCAATGAGGGAACCTGATGCCAATGAGGGCATTGCAGAAAAAAACTGAGTGCATTTGTAAGTTTGTTCTTTGTTTACTATCAGCATTATTTTGAATATTTATACATCCAGCAACAGTGCTTTCGGTTTTTAATATGAATTGGCATAATTTGATCAAAGGAAACTATTTATGCAATACAAAATATTTAATCATGTTCAATCATTTTCCACAAAACTCAATGAAAATTAAAAATGCTTGACTGGTATAATCCAGCAATGGTTTTGCATACCATATAAACTACCCATATGTGTGATGTAAACAATATAGCTTTATCACTATAATAAGACAAAATAAAGTTCATGCCCTTACCCTTTTTTTCCAAGTCAATTAATAATTTGGACTTCTTGTGAAGAATATCACTCACTAATTTTATTTCAATATTTTGGGACAATAATTCTTCCAATTTTTCAAAAATTTGTTGCCCCTATAAGGAAAATATTTATTTATTTACTTATGTAAAACATTGATATGGTCACCCATTTTAAACCAAACTTCGGACAGTTCACAAGCCCAAAATAAAACAATATATAAAAATGTAATTAAAGCAGAAAGGGCTAGATGCTACAATTAAACCTTCCCATGTATCCCACAAGTTTATTCCATGCCAACCTCAGCAGTTGGTGGTAAACCTAGATCTTAAGTCAGACATGTCAAACTAGCGATGTCACGTGATGTCACGCAACATATCAGGACAGTTTTGCCATTGCCGGCAATGGGGTGGGCGCGGCTTCCAGATGACACGTCTGGCCTGTGAAACAGCAGTTTGACACCCCTGTCTTAAGTGCTTTTCAGAAGATTAAGGAGGTGGGGAGCTTCTAGACCTTAGGGGGAAGAGTCTCCATAGGACAGAGGTTGCCATAGAAAAGGCACACTTCCTAAGTCCTACAAGATGACAGCATTTAAATGAAGGGACCAGTGTGATCAGCAGGGATTACATTATATATAAAATCAATGTGTTTATGGAACCTGGAAAGCTTAAAATGAAGTCAGAAGAACAGTGGACTACAGAAGAATTTATTTTTGAATGGTTCTGATATGCACATTTAAAAAGAGATTTAATATAGATAAAAAGGTAACTGGGAATTGAAAAAGGATAAAATGGACTCAGAAACTGACAAATATGGAATGTATAAATTTTTGCTGAGATTTGAAATGGAAGAAGAGAAAGTTAAATGGAGCATGATACTATACTTCTGTATCAGAAGCACCAAAGGGCTTCTGTGGTGAAAGGATCAACCAGTGACATCACCATCCCCGAGGGGATGCCCAAATGGGGTCCTTTCATGTTCCTATTAGGTTGCTCAATGAAGTCTTACCCATCTATCTACTACAGTCCACTTTCAAATTGTTGAGTCAGCAGAAGCTGGAAGGAGTGATAGGACTCATCCCACCACATGACAGTAACTGGGTCTCAAACACGAGCCTGCCAATTGTCAGATCATCATCCTAACCATGTGAGCCACTGTGTTCCCCAGTGCATGGTAAAATGAGATAAGAATTTTGGTTATAATATATAGAGATGGATCAATTGGGATAAAAAATAATTAAAAGGACTGAAAGTCACATTGTGTTACAATTTAAGTGGGAATTTTTACTAAATAATGTACTGTTGGTATATGACACCAGAGAAATAAGTTAAGATGTATAAAAATACCTTTAATCACCATTGGAAATGTGGAAAATATGAAGGATCATTTTAACATGCATGGTAGATTTGTGGAAAACAAAAAATATTGGATACAAATAAATATAATGATGCAATGAATTCTAAAGACTCACATTCAAATGAAATCAGAATAATTTATAATGGGATTTATGGATAACCAATTAGAAAAGACTTATGGATGATTGGTTTAGTATATGGTAATTGCAATAAGACTACTGTATGCAGAACACTGGAAAAATACTGAAATCTCTACAATGGAAGAATGGATTGTAAAGATGATGGAACATGTGTAAATGGCAAAATTGACTGAATTAGGGATATGATAATTATATTTTTATTAAACTGGAAATCTTTTATGGATTTTTGCTGAAAATGAAAAAAATGAATTGATTGTGTATGGATTTGCTGATTAAAAAGGTTGATTATGGGAAGAAAAGAATGGTGATGTAATTTCTTTTTTCTTCTGTTTATATTTTCTTTCACACTTTTCTTACTTTTTCACTTCACCTCATTTTTTCTGCTCTTTAATCTTTATACTATTTCATGTTTAATCTATGAAATAATTCTTAATAAACATTATTTTTTTAAAAAAAATCAATGTCATTGTATCTATGTATATAAAATATACTGTGTTGTGTGATAGTGCTTTTATAAGACTTTAAAACTACTGTTTGGAAAAAGGATTTGAAGTTTATAAAGTCAGGAAGATAATAACAAGCAGAATGATATCTTACATTCCCCTTCAGTAAGAACTCTATGCAAGATGTCTAATTTTAAGCCAAAAAGTTAAAATGATTAGAAGCCTTTACATTATCAGAAAAATCAGTGAGCAATTTTGAAAAGCAATTACATGCTAAATTTTGACAGTATGGCAGTTTGGCATGGAGATCGCAAAACTACATTACTTCTAAAATTCATCTTATGTACTCTGACTTTTTAAAAAAATTGCAAGGTACGATAACATTGCAAGCTTCTGATTACATTAAGCTGCTACTCAGCATTTTAGAAAATGCATTGACAGAAACTTGAATTTGGTGGTGGTCCCTCTACTGAATCCAGAAAAAGCTTTGATGTGATACAATTACATTTTTTGGAGCATGCCTATAAATTCTTAAGGCTATGGTCAGGAGAAGCAGGCTTTTCCCCAACAAAACATAGTGACATTGTGTTTGGAAGCCATCTGATTCTAGAAAAACACTGTAATTCTAGACACACCCATAATATACAATGCAACACACACAAGTGGAACAAGCTTGTACAGGTGGTCCTTGTCTTATGAACACAGTTAAGCCCCAAATTTCCATTGCTAGGCAAGACGGTTGTTAACTGAGTTGCTGATATAAATAGATGACTGAAATTCCCATGAAATTATGGGGAAGAATAATTGCTATTAAATGAATATAATTCTAGATTTATATACAGATACAAAGAGAGATCCCTTAGTTTGGGATGGATAGATACTGAGATATTTTTTTTCTATTTAAATTGCAATTTCTGTACAAAGAAGATTTAGTTTTCTAGATGTCCATCTTTCACCCTGGGGTAGGAATTGAGAACTATTTAAATGGAATCTAAATGATCTTTCTTGAAAACCATTTTGTGCATAGCTATAATGTTAACACTTGATCTCGCCAATGTTTCAGCAGGGGCTTGGTTGTTCTTTTACTAAAAATTCAGTTTTTACAACACCAAAGGTTGCAAAAACTGATTTTTTCAAGGCCTGTTTGGCTGATTTTGTGATAGTTCATTCTCTGTTTATATGAAAAACTGACAAACTGGAACTATATTCATTTAAAAATTGCAGGTATATCCTTCTTAAGAGTGTTAGAGCAAAAAGTAGTACTAATGTTTGGAATCATCTTAATTCCTTATAAATATATTAATATGCTAAATACCAGAGGATGGAATAAACAAACATTCAATTAAAACATCTTTTGACTTCACAGTTCAAAATTATTAGCAACTCCTAAACCTCTAAATCACTCATTATATTGGAAAGTGTTTTGGAAGAATCTAAACCTTCCAAATTCCTCAATCCATTTGGATTAGGTAGGCTGTAAATACAGTATTTTAAAACAAACAATCATACTGAATATCTGACAGACACCTGAACAATTTTGGATAGATATTTGCAGTGCTTTTTTTCTTAAAAAAAAAAAAAAAAAAGGTGCCAGAACTCACACACGTCATACAACCCGCCTTGCCTACCCTACAAGGTTCCATCCAAAAAAGGTGCCGGAACTCCGTTCTGGGCGTTCTATGAGAAAAAAAGCCCTGGATATTTGTAATTTACAGGAATTTTGAATTATGGAGCAGGGACATCCTACTTTAACCAATCTGTGGTCTTATATTTAAAGAATATTAATTACATTGCTTATAGCATTAACTTGAGACTAATTCATCAAAATATAATTTTCATAAATGGTATTGATGTTTTTATAAAAATAAACAATGTAGACAATAAAATTTCCTTCTCATTACTATGAGACTTCACAAACCACACAAAAATCGCATTTGCCCTATGTTAGAAATACTTTTTGTTCTAACTATAGGAAAAAAATAAGACTGTTTAAAATTGCTGTGATAAACTAACATTACTAAAGAACAAACAGAAAGGAATTTCACTGAGAAAATGGGTATTATTTATCCTTTATTGCAGCGGTTCTCAACCTATGGGTCGCGACCCCATTTGGGGTCAAACGACCATTTTACGGGGGTCGCCAAACAACGCGATCCGCCATTTTTCCCCCTCAGGGGGCGCCGCCGCGCATGCGCGCTGTGCCGCACATGTGACGGGGGTTGCCGTCACACAAAGGTTGAGAACCGCTGCTTTATTGCAACCTTTTCATCCTCATTAAATAACAATTCCCAGAATCCAATTGATATCTTTGCAATCCGAGAAAGTGTCAGGATAGTTTATTAGAGTATGTAAACTAATTTAGTAATTTTGAAAGAGATATCTTTAAAAAGAACTTTATTTTCTGTCTAAATGCATATGAAAAATATCATTATAATAAAACATGAAAAGCCCATGATCAAGTTAGGAAACTCTTTATAATCTGATATCACTGTTTTCAGTATTAAACTTATATGATATGAAATATTATTAGTTACTCTGAAAGACTATTCTACAGACAATTGCTTCAATCTCACAATGAGAATAACCAGAAATTATTTTCTTATATAAATAAAACCTGAAGGATTCAGACTCAGGCAAGAATGAATTGTAAAATGTACACCAAGCAGACAATAAGACTTGAAAATTTTTAAAAATTTACCTGCCATGGAGTTGGATGACTGTGACTGAGGTTCCATTGGGAAGATACTATGTCAACAGATGCTTTAGCCATATTAAGTAAATTCATCCATCCCTGGAAAAGAGACAAATGGGATGGTGCACTGTCTGAATAGTTTATGCCTTCAGGAATATTTTCCACAAGAGCAACTCTGAGAAGACACAAAGAAAACGAAACAGGTTTTCAAATGTTCCCATTTCAGAAATGCATCAGTTCCCTGGGGGCTTCTTTATGAAAAGTGGGAAGGAGGAATCTTTGATCTTTGCCTGTCAAGCGCTGGGGAACTCAGGAGATTCAGACTGTTCAAATCAGTATAAAGATTTATTGCCAAGCTTAAGCTCTTTACAAGAATCTGACCAACTGACGGTCAAGGGAAATGAACGGGAGATAAGAAAGATATTCAAGGTAGGCTGGACATAGATCTTTTGGGGGCCTGCAGGTATTCATGACTTATGACACGTTTGATCCCTCCCTTGGGCTCAGCCTGGTCTTCTTCTACACTGCCTTGACTGAAGATTTGGAGTTTGGATGTGGGGGGACTTATGATACATTATTCTGCATACATTACTCCGCACATACCTTCCTTCTTGTTATTCCATATTTTGTTCCCAAATTAGCATTAATGATTGCAAATGCTATCTGCTTTCAGTTTTAAATATGTTTAGGATTATAGAGAACAGTAAGCTAGTTATATTAGGATTTATATTTGCCTTTCAATTAGTATAGTGCTACTTAACTTAAATGGTAGTATGGATCTCTAACATTTCAAGATACCAACCTTTACTAATCTTGCTACACATTCTATTGGTAAAAATCAGTGATTATGTGGAATGTAAACAAATATTTTATGTGATCTTTCATTAAATCATTGTCCAAAATCTCAAGAAAACTAAATTCAAAGTTTCTATAGAAGCAAAGACACTTGGCCATGGATTTATTCATAGTTTAATAATTCTTTGAACTGAATCATTCTTATCCTTTAGTTGAATTCACTAGGCATCTAGCTGTAAAGGTGCTGCTTTTTATTTATGAATTTATTACTTTTCATCTGATAGATCATCCATAAATTACATGTGTTGGTATTAAACACAAAGATGTGACATGAATTCCCAGTTAACAGTATATTAATAATAAAACATTTTAAAATTGATTTTATTTTTTAAAGTTAAATGACTTAAATTTTTAAAAATGTTAAAGTTCTATTATAGTATCTGGTTGAAAATAAAATCTAAAATGTATTGAAGTATAATTTCTAAAGAGATTCTGCTATTCAGTGCAGATAGCATTGAGTTAGATAGACCAATTGTTTGATCTCTATCTTCCAAGGTGGACCATCTCCCAGAATAAGATTTTAAAAGCAATGAGATAATAATAGAAACAAAAAACACAGGGTCAAGTTTTTCATCATATTTTCACTATGAGGCAAAAAAATATTTTTCCATCAGAAGAAATTTTGTTGTAATAAAAAATTTTCTGGTTAAGTGGCAATAGATTAAGAATGCAAACTGCTTCTCGAAGTGTGACTAATGATTAATATATTGCAAGGAAGATAAATATGAGCAAGAAAAAAGTCAATCAGGTCAAGGGTATCTTTACTGCAAAACACACTAAAATGATATATAACATAGTGAAACTGACAAAATATCAAGGTATGGCTTGGTCCTTGACAGAGAAAATACAGAGTGAGCACCAGTTATAAATAAATGATGAAAACTATAGCAAGTAGATGAATGCCTATATCTTGGTGAAATGATTATTAAAGATATTATTAATGAGAAATTTAAGTACAAATATTGGTAAAGTTGTGGTCTGTTATGATGAATGATTGTTTATCAAAAAGAGTGAAAATGGCACTGTATGACAATATGCGTCTTCCAGTACATTAAATAAAAATAAGAGCTGGAAATATCAGGAAAAATATAAATATAAACTGAATGTAGAACAAGAAATGCATTTGCTGTAAATGTATTCTAAGCATATAAATGAATTTAAATGTACTTAAAAAGTATTAACAAAGAAGAGGAAGTGAGGGGGAGTGAGTGAGAGAAAGAATAAACTATGAATAGTAACTAAATGCATATGGATATGAGCTAAGAAGTACAAAAGAAATATGTTGAGGTGGTTTGGTCATACTGAGAGAATGAATGAGAATCCTACTCCAAAATAGATTGAGAGGAAGGGGAAAACTGAAAAATGTGAGAAGTTAATGAAGAAAATATGAAGTGGTTGCAGTATAGATATGTTGCCTGCAATGACAGTTTGAAAGGACAGGGAAGTATAATGAGATATATAGTGAATGTGTTGGTGTAAATTAGATTATGCTATGTTTCTTTTTCTTATCTCAGATCTTTAATTTCTTTGGCTTAGTGTTTTTTTACCTTTTTCTGCACTCTCCCTACATTGTTTATCCCAAAATGGAATACATGATAGATATGTATCCAGTATCACCTTGATCTAGAAACCTGTGTAGAAAGAGGAACAAACTTATAGGGTATGGAAAAGCCAGGAGTAAAAAAGAAAATGCATTTTAGCACTATCTAGTTTCCTATACCCATCAACTCTAAATAAGTAATGAAAGAAGAAAAAGATGCCCAGATTACAATCTCCCTGCCCTTCAAGTGTAATAACTCTACCACACGTTAATCTACTAATAGGAAACAGAAATGAAAAGTTACATATCTACTGAGCCTAGCTTCATTCTTTTTGCTGCACTTTTCCAAAACTATCTATTTAAGAATATTAAGGTTTAGAACAGCGGTTCTCAACGTTTGTGTGACGGCGACCCCCGTCACAAACGTTATGCGCATGCGCGGCCGCGCCCCCACGCGCGGCGCGCATGCGTGGCGCCGCCCCCGGAGGGGAGAAAATGGCGGATCGCCGCCTTTGGCGACCCCCGAAAAATGGTCGATTGACCCCAAATGGGGTCGCGACCCATAGGTTGAGAACCGCTGGTTTAGAAGGATTATGGGCAAATAACAGTCTATGATCAAAAACCTTCCTGTTAAGAGATTGCCTTACCTAATATTGTTTGGTGAGGACATCTAGACAGGGTCGTCTGAAGGTCTTTCCTTGGCAAGAGGAGCATGGATCAGAAGGCCAGACACATTCTCAAAGAGATGTGTTTGGCCTTCTTAATTCTAACATTAAGGAAGATTTTCTTTTATAAGCAGAATTTTGACACCTATGTGCATTAGGAAGCCATTATAAATTTTAAATAATACTATGCATTTTAAATGAGTTTCAACTGAAAGAATTTTTTGGATGACAGTAAGACAATACTGTGAGGATTAGGTATTCAGCAGAGTAGAATAGAATAGAGTAACAGAATTGGAAAGGACCTTGTAGGTCATCCAGTCCAACCCCCCACCCAAGCAGGAGACCCTACACCATTTCTGACAGATGGCAGTCCAGTCTCTTCTTGAAAGCCTCCAGTGATGAAGCTCCCACAACTTTTGAAGGCAATCTGTTCCATTGGTTGATTGTTCTCACTGTCAGGAAATTTCTCCTTATTTCTAGGTTGAATCTCTCCTTGATCAGTTTCCATCTGTTATTCCTTGTCTGGCCTTCAGGTGTTTTGGAAAATAGGTTGATCCCTTCCTGATGGCACAAGGGAAAAAACTGCCCTGTGTCTAGTTGCTTTGGCATGCAATGCCCTACAGTGGCGTTCTGAGGACAGGAGTTGAACTTATAACTATGGCTACACCTGATACCCGTGATATTAGGACCTGTGCAAATGGCAACTCAAGGAGGAAAATTTTCTGAAGGCTTTATGGTCCTGAAGCCCATCACTGAAATTTATTAAAAAAAAAAAACATTTGCAAGACATTGTTCAAAATGCTGGTCATTAGCTACTCATCCAGTTGGTAATGGAGAATTTTGCACGGTTTACTGTATCTCCTGGCTTGGGAAAATGAGGTGGAGTTTATTGCAGTTGCTTCTAAGACAGGGGAGGGGAGTCTGAGAAGAGTCTTTGCAGTGAGATAGTTCATTTGGTATCAGTGAATTGCTGAGTGTGAGAGTAATAAGTGGGTGAGAAGATAGAAATATATGTGGATGAATGGATGGATATGTGTGTATGTATTCAGAAGTTACTTGAGAGCACTGAAAATATACACTAATTGAGAAAAGATTTTAAACATTCCAAATTCTTACCAAATGTAAGAACAAGACAAGGAACATTGTATCACGTATTACTGAAATACAAAAATGCAAATGTGAATGAAAAGAAAAGTCTATTGTCAATATACACAAAAACGTATTTCTCTTTGGATAATAGAAAGGTGATGAGTCATGGAGACTGTTGATGAATACCATTTAAAGAAAACAAACCCTTATAAGCCATATGGTTAACCTGTTTATTGTTTCCTAATGCCAAAAATGTCATGGGTATCTATGGTTACTCACTTCCTTTGTTACCTAACATGTGAAGGTGCATCAGTCCAGCAAACCATAAAATAAACAGCCCAAAGACAGCTAAAATTCCAACATACAGCAAGACAGAGGACTACAAAGTAGAATAAGTGAAGATAAAAGGGAAAAACTGCAATTTATAAAATGTGCTTGGGAATACATATACTGTACTGTATTGCATGCCAAATTTCATATTACTTTTATCAAGGCTTTCTCCCTTCTGGATACATGGAATCACTTATTTTCAAGAATTATTTGAATATAACATATCATAACATAACAACACTTCTGATATGAAAAAATATGTTCTATGCATAGCTCTCAATATAATTCTCACTTGCACAAAATGCATGTTTTTTTGTGCTCTCTGAGTTTGGTTGTTTGCTTGTAGATGTTTCATTAGGTTAGCAATAACATAGCATCGTTAGGTAACATTAGCAATGATTATGTTACCTAGGTAGATAATGAAACATCTCCAAGCAAACAACCCAACTTAGAGGGCACCAAAGATTCCACAGGACAACTTTGATGTTGATATTCTCTTTTATGGCACAGTTTATTGTTTTAAACAGAAGGTCAGCATTTCATTAAAAATGCCCTTTTTCTTAGAAAAGGAAGGGAAAAAAACATACCAATATCAAATTTATATGTAGTGCAAGAAGATAATTTGAATTAACAAATAAAAGATATGCATACATTTATAATTTTAAACGAAAAAGTTAGGAAGAAATTTTTTAAAAAACTAAAAAATATTCTTGTCCACATTTCAAAATGTAGGCACTTGATTTTATGCTACTTTATTATCTATTAATTTAAACATATGAAATCTAATTTCAGTTCGTATGAATATTAGTGTGCATTGCTTTTTAGTGTTGTTGTGCATGATAACGTACACCTTATTTATCTATAAATTACTTTCTCTATAAAATGGTAAACTACCTGTCATTCAATATGAAACCTAGAACAGAATACATAATACTATAACAAAATAATATCAAAGTTAGTTATCTTATAAAAGATCTTATAAAATATTACAAGGTAAGAAGCATAAAATAACCAAAATATCTCAAAAATGATGTAATAAAAATGACAAAAGTAAGGATGTAAACTTTGACATAAAACAAACACCTGCTGGGCCTTATTTACAAAGTTTATAAATAATTTGAATGAGTCAAAGGCTCTATGTCAACGCTGCTAACATTGGATATTCTTGCTTTGGCAAAATATGCAGAACTGTCTGGTATTTTTAGAGTTAACTTAGATGATGCTGGGAGGGGAGGAGAAAGAATGTGTGTGGGGAGTAATTAAGATAAGAAATACTCGGGCTACAGAATGGAAGTGAACCTTTGCCCTTCGGGTTGATTGGAGAATGTGATTTATGACTGCAAAATAGAGGAGGGGAATAGGCTGGAATGTTATGTGCGGGGGAGGGGAGTTCAGATCTTGGCATCCTCCATGCCGTGTACTGACACTGTGTTTACATGATTAAAGACTTTTTAGGATAAACAATGCCTGGAAGTTCTTTGAAGTGTTCCATTAGTCGGAACCTTGACACTCTATGTTTAAATGGATATATTAAATGGATACATTACTTCTAAAATTCATCTTATGTACTCTGACTTTTTAAAAGAATTGCAAGGTAGGATAACATTGCAAGCTTCTGATTACATTAAGCTGTTGGATACTGGATGGATACTGAAAGTAAGCATTAAAAACTCCTGTTTTTATATAAGCATTGTTTGTATTGACTATTCTGTTTCCCACTGTCACTTCTCATGAGATGGGTGGCTATATAAAATTGATTAATTAATAAATAAATAGATAAACAAGACAGAGAGAATAATCATAGGGCCAAGGTCAAAAGTTCATAATTAAGTTACATTCAGCTGCTAATTCCAGAGACCCAGTCCAGAAGTCTAGGGGAAAAAAACAATAACTGCATTCCATTTTAATGAACAGCATGTTCCATTTGTGAAAAGCATTAGGATCAAGAAGAAAAGGTCTTTTATAGTTTATAGGTGGTCAACTGTATATTCACATTCTAATTCCAAGCTTACTTTGGCACCTTTCTCGTTCCAAAGTAGACTTGACTTGCATAGGTTCAAGAAAATAAGGAGAACAATAGAGCTATCAACAACAGCATGCAAAATGAGATGATGGAATTCTATTTTCCTGTATAAGCTTTGCTAGAAACATTCTGAACTATGTTCAGAAAAATACATTTGAAAACATGGTTAACTAAAGAATCATGCCTGCAGATAAATCACATTTTAAATATGAGACATACATTATATTCACCTTTATTTCTGCTATTCATTTGGATGTTTGTTTATGTTAATATGAGAAAAAAATTGTAATATGGCCATGCAATGTAATTAATTTAAACCCACATTTAAAAATGTCTCTGTTGAGCTTTGGGTTCAAATGGATGACATTGTCAAATTAGAGATTATTTCAAAATTCTGACATTCACATTGCTCTTACAGATGAATTGCAATTCATCTTGTTTTTGTACCTCTAAAGAAAGTTTTAAACTTTCTTTCTATGTATCTTTTGCATCACAGCAGCCATTTATCCCCAAAAAAGAAGCTTTGTTTGTTACCTCTTACCGACAGTTATTTTGACAGTTTTTTTCTGTAAGTCCATATTCATCTTCTCCAACAATATCCACAGCTGAAAATATCAGTGCAACCAGAATTGCAAAGCAGCAAACCAGTGCAAAAATCACGATGCATTTTTGCTGGGACTGAAAGACATTAGAAGAAGAAATTGAGGTCAAAATAGTCAAGAATCTTTACAGATATTCCAAACACTATTGTATATAGTTTAGTCTAAAAATATTTTGTTTTGATCTAAAAATTTCTCAAATTTTATATCAAGAAAGATACATTAGAAAAGGTAAAGCATCGTCTTGTTTTTGACTATTTTATCACAACCATGTTAACACTTTTTTTTACTATACATCATGATATGGACAAAATGCTTTGACCTTATCCTAACTTTAGAGAAAAACAGACTGCTGAAGAATTGACAAAAACACAAAACCCCTCACTTTCAGGTTATTTTGAAATAAACATAATAAATAATGCTAAGAAGAGTAGCCATAGTATGCATAAAGAATGACTCCCATTCCATACTAAAATTCAAAGCATATCTGCCTTGGATGGATGGACTATTATTGCCTTACAGCTTATCATTACTGAGAACTCCACCCACTCATTAGAAGTTTGGTAAGAAAATAAGGGCTGCCACTCGATGAAATTTAATTTGGGGGGGGGGACAGGAAAGTATTGATGCTGTGCTGTATACTGCCATGTCTTTAGATTTCTAAGACAAATAATTATATGTCCTAAAACCTACTGGTAAAAGATCTTATGTTCTATTTCATATCAAAACTAACAAATATAGCGTAGTTGCTGCATAGTAAACTATGCAATTTTTTCAAACAAGAGCTCATCTTATTTTACAATCACAAATTATGCAAAATGACAATGAAAAGCATTTTAGTTTTTTCCAATAGGAAATTAACATCTCAATCCATCTGAATCAAATTTTAGGCAAACATATGTACCCAAAACATATATGTTACGATACACATCTAAAAGTTAAATATAGGTAAGTGGCCAATTAATCCAGACCAGCCTCTCTTGCATCCACTGGGACAGACCTGAGTCAGTCCTTAGAAAAGTATCAGGATCCACAGACCCAGCCTTAATTCCTTCCAACAGAATGATCCATCCAGAGAAATCCTGGAGAAGCAGTCTCAGTCATTTATCTCTCTCACGTGTCATAGCAAAGTCCATGGAATTCTAGAGATGACTAACAATCAAATGAATTTGATAATGATAAATATTGTCAGCCCACACTATACGCCAGGGATTGAGAACCTTTTAGAGACTGACCCAAAACTGACCCCGCCCTGCCTCTCTGCCTGCCCGCAGGGCCACTCACCACTTTCATGGCCCACCACATATCGCCCAGGCAGCCCTGCAGCGCCAAGGCAGCCATGCCCTCCATCCGCGCCCTGCAGCATCATCTGCACATGACGGGGCACGAGGGTGGAGTCTTGTCCCCGCTGCCTGGCTGCCATGTCCTTGGCTATTCTGCTCCATGCGGGCCATGCTTGGGGATGACTCCTCTGGCGGGCTGCTGTTGAGGAGGGGGCCACTGGGGGAGGCAGGACTGGGGCAATGGCACGCATACCCACAGAGAGGACTCTGAATGCCACCTCTGGTACACGTGACATAGGTTCGCCACCAGTGCTATATGCCATCTAATCAGCCAGCAGGATGGGGAATGGTGCCATCCTTTGGCCACCCTTTGACCAAATGGCCAATTCAAAAAACAGATTAAATTCAGCATTAGTCTCAGCAACTCAAAAGATCCAGTCAGACCTCTACCTTAGATGCTGGGCCAATTATAGCGATAGCCACAGGCCACAAAAGGGGAAAAAAAATCTCTATGTTCAGAGGGATATGTCCAGATTATTTTGGGTACCACTGCCCTCTACAGCCTCTCCACAACCTCCAACAATGATGCAGCTTGATCTTCAGCAAGTAAACAACCTGAAAGCCTCTCATGGGAACATGGCAAGTTCCATTGCAGCAACCAAAAATTGTCCCAAGAATCTCTCAGAGTTTGGAACCAGTGCCCTTAAAATGTATCAGATAACAAAACATAACTTCCAAAACAAACGAGCCAAAATAAAAAAAAAATCCTCCATGATTTAATATAAACTAAAAAAAACCTCTCCCTTTCACTGAAACGAGGTGACCTCCATGATGCCATCTTAAAAATTAAATATAGTAATAGACATAATTGAAGTAATCTTATGTACTCTTCCTGAAATCTGATAAAAGAAAAGAATTAAATAATATACAAGTAAGAGAGCCAGTTTGAAGATCATAAGTTCTAGTCCCACCTTTGCAATAAATAAGGTGACCAACCGTCCTCCTTTTGGAAGGACAGTCCTCCTTTTTTGAGTTCTGTCCTCCCTTGAAAAGTGTCCTCCTAAATGTCTTCCTTTTCCATATACCGTCCTCCTTTTGGGAGGACAGTCCTCCTTTTGGGAGTTCTGTCCTCTCTTGAAAATGTCCTCCTAAATGTCCTCTTTTTGACGACTAATCTGCAGGGCTTTTGTTTCCTCATAGAACGCTCAGAAGGCGTTCCGGGACCTTTTTTTAAATTTTTTTTCAACTTTTGCATCTACTCCCCCTATTGGCTTTCGAAAGCCAATAGGAATTGCTGCTGAGTGCGCCAAAACACCCGGGCGGCAAACTTTGCACGTGCAAGTTGCAGGAACTTGCACCCCTCACTACTACCCAACTACACGATCTCCTACTTCTTAGTTCCAAAGATAGCTGGAGGAGACTGGAACGTTAAGTTTCACTTGATCTTCCCTGTTCGGTTCTATGCGGGGATACACAGGGTAGGCAGTGGTGCTGGGGAGCGGCTGGGGGGGGGCGGCTGCAGGGCCAGAGCCGGCGTGGCTGATGCTTTGCAAGCCGCGGGGCCGGCTCTATGGGGATGGGCAGGGGGGCGGTGGTGCTGGGGGGCGGCTGCAGGGCCGGAGCTGGTGCGGCTGGTGCTTTGCGAGCCGTAGGGCCGGCTCTCTACGGCAGGGCAGCAGTGCTGGCAGGGCGGCTGTGGGCGGGGGCGCGGCGGGCAGTTGACCTTCCATGGGCTGCGCCAGCTGGTGGTCTACGCAGTGCTGACCTGCGCTGCCACCACCTCACCCTGCGCATCTACATGGCCATCCTGGAGCGCCTGGCTCACAACACCTGCCTCCGCCGCCCACCCCCGCGCAGTCCAGCCGTGTAGATTTTTGGACGTGAGAAATCGAGATTGAACATTGATACTCTAGCTGCAGCACTTGCCGTAAAATTCAATATGAAGGATATTTCTTGTTCAGATATTTCCAATATATTGTTAGAAGATGATACATTGACAAAAATTATTCATTCAATGGAAAAGTACTCATTTAAATAATTAATAGGCATGTAAGCATAATTACAATATAAAATGTTATTGTTATGAATGTTTTTTATTATGCATTTATCATATTATAGTGTATTCTGTATTATTTTGCAATAAATACAATGTTTCTTTTATTTACGATATTTTTTTCTTAAATTTATTTGTGTCCTCCTTTTTGTTGTAAAAAAGTTGGTCACCTTACAATAAAGCCAGCTGGGTGACCTTAAGCCAGGTATTCTCTCTCAGCCCTAGGAAATGACAAATCATTTCCAAAAAATATATTGTCTAGTCCAGGCAGTCACCAGGAGTCAACACTGACTTGAAAATGCATACATAAGTACATTGAAGAATCTCTGGACAACTATCCCAGTGATTTCATGTTAGTGCAAATAACTCTGCAGACAAAATTAAAAAGTATAGATCCCCAAGCTGAAATTTGTTCTTTTAAACTTAGATTTAAAATTTAAAAATCAATTTAGATGGCTTCCTTCCTTTTGTTCAACTATGAATCAATTACTTGTTCTTTCGGCTCTTAATGATAATTTCTATTTTAAATATAAATACCTCATCCCACAGAAATCACCAATTTTAGTCAGATTCTCTAAGATATATATTTATTTGAAATGATTAGAACCCTTAGCTATATTTATGCAGATATATACAGTACCATATTAATATAGCCTTCCCCCATCTGCCATGTTCTTGCGGTATTAGGCCTGCTAGCTGGAAACAGAGAAATTACCATCCTAATACATCAGAAAAGATCTAGCTTGGAGGAGGTTGGCCTGATGTATTTATTTTGATAGCAAGATAGAAGACATAATAAATTATATTGCAAACGAACTTGGATTGTTTTTCAAATGCACGCCACATATCTCCCCCCTCTATAGCTAAGTGTTATCTGTAGAGAAAACTGCCATCTGTGTACTGAAATAATTTCTTTCTTTCAACCTCAATTCTCTAAGGCCATCCAGCTCTTATTCAAAGCAGAAACTGAAAGACTGAACACTGCTTTTGAGAATCAGTCAGTGAATTTAAATAAACTGGAATGTGTTACTTCACATCAGAAGAGCAGTAGATCTTCTACTGTGAATAAGAAACAGAAGAATAGAGTAGTTATTATTGTTAACAAAAGGATGTCAAAATCAATATTCAAATATTAGCCCCTAAAATGACAGAATTATGTCAATTCAAGTCCAATAAGGTGACCAACCGTCCTCCTTTAGGGAGGATAGTCCTCCTTTTGTAAGTTCTGTCCTCCCTCAAAAAGTGTCCTCCTTCATGTCCTCCTTTTCGATATTTGAAGACTAATCTGCAGGGCTTTTTTGTCCCTCATAGAACGCTCAGAACAGCATTCCAGCACCTTTTTTTGATGGTTTTTTTTTCAACTTTTGCATGAGCTGTGCTACTCCCGCTATTGGCTTTTGAAAGCCAATAGGAATTGCTGCTGAGCATGCCAAAACACCCGGCTGGCAAACTTTGCACATGCAAGTTGTCTGTATTATTGTTGCAATGAATAAAATGTTTCTTTTATTTACGATATTTTTTTCTTCAATTTATTTGTGTCCTCCTTTTCATTGTAAAAAAGTTGGTCACCTTAAAGTCCAAGGCAGCTTGGTGATGCTAGACGTGTTCCGATCACAGATATGAAGTAAACAGAAGATGAACAATTCTGTGTAATTTGCAACACCATGTCAATATCACACCAGCAAGAAAAAAGATAACATGCTAATTATAGCAGACTGGAATGTTTAACCTGAAAGGAAAATA